GAAACAATCATATTTTTGTCGTTATAATTTTATGAAGTAATATATTTATTGTGTCTTAATCTATATAATCTTTTGCCATCTTTTGCATAATTTGTTTCGCAAAATTATAACGACGTAAAAATATGATCGTTTTACTTTTAACTGAAAAATCCGAAGTTACTTATTACACACAAGTTACATATTATCTCTCAATTTTACATTACTTTTTCAAAATAAATTCAAGTATCCAACATAATTTATCTGTCTTGTATCAGTAATAATATACGGATTGCTTTCAGGCATCCCCACGAGACGCGCGTAACACTCAAGAGGGTGAGAAAGATGTTAACATTGGCATAACTTCGACTTCGCTTACTTTTCCGCACGGAGGTGAACGATCGACGCACGATTAGTGGCGGCAGGGTTATTTTTTCGTAACGACATACTACAAATATAGACACGCCGCGACATGCGATGACGACAGCGCGACAAGGGGTGCGCACGTCCACATGGGGGACGGACACACGGGTAGAGGTGAAAGTAATTATTTGCGTCCGTCGATTGGCGACAAGTACGCGACGACAAGGCACACGTGCGAGAAGTCGCTTCGTTCTCGATCGGTCGGTCGGTCGGTCGGTCGGTCGGTCGGTCGGTCGGTCGGTTGCTTGTTCGCTCGCTCGCTCGATGCGTTATGGTATTTTTAGCGGACGCGTAGACCCGCGCGTAGGCAGCCTCCGACGGCGGACTGACGTCCTAATGACTCCTGTTTCTTCGATTTCGCAGCCCAAACCTCTCTCATCGCCGTGCCTCGCGGAAAAGCGATCGCGAAATGTCGGGAATTTGCCCGTTATTGTTATATAGAAATTCGAATCAACGAGTGACGACGAGAACGGGACGCTGCGAATGCGTATTCTTCTCTCATATGTTGATTGGTTCTCATAGTGAACTTCGTAAGATAAAGGTTCCTTTAATATTTAAATGTTCTCTTCCTCTCTGCCGCTGGTGGAATTAAGGTAAAAGTTTCAATATCTAAACATTACTGGCATCTAAGACCTAACAGGACATTCTTATTGTTTTATCTCTTTTTTGGTTTTTAAATATGAACATTTAAACTTTCAATATAAAGTATACATATGTATATATACTGACACCCGTATTTCGTTAAATTAGTATCTATGCAGAACCGATGATTATTGTCGTATATTATTCGTTTTTACAAATAAGTGATATTCTTCGGCAAACCTTTTCGTTTTATATACGTGCCAAGATAGGTCAAAGTATTGAATTAAGCCCTGTTATTGTTGCTTTATCTCAAGAAAAATTTACTATACATGAAATAATAGCCACAGTTAAATTTGATAGCAATATTTCTAAGAAAATATCGAGAAACAAAAAATTTAAAGTAAAATAAAGTTAAAGGAAAGTGTAGACGGTCGCGCGAATTCTTAATAGCATTTGTTTAAAAAATCAAATAAATTCAAGCGTAAGTAAGAAGAGTCGTACTGTCAAAAAGCGATTGTGAATACTCGAATTTATTGGATGACGCAGTAATTAACGCCAGTATTCTGTAGGTACTAATATTATCAATATTATTAATATTATTAATCATTAGTACTTTTACCTTAAAATCGAGATAAATTCTCGCGGAGATATTTGAATTCACTGAAATTTTATCTTATTTTTACATACACTGAGAAATGAAACATTTAAAAAATAAGAAATATTTAAATGGATACTAACAGAAATGTTCCAATAGATACTAATGATACATTAACTTAAATCTAAGTTGTTTATTCAAAACAATAATAAATTGTTCAAACAATCGCTTTCATGAAAAGCGAAGTCTTCAAGAAAATGTATATTTCTTTACTCAAAAAATATTTTATATTGTAATTTTTATATTACAAGTAAATATATTATTAGTACCCACGGAATAAGTATTTTTTTCATTTCTCAAATGTTTTTTTTTCGGTATAATAAACCACATGATAAGTGGTCCGATGGACACTGTGTGTGATTTTGATTGACAGAGGCGTTTCTCAAAATTATAGACGTGTATACATAACATCTTGTAAATTCAACTGTCGCAGGATTCACGCGCGCCACAGCCGTTTCCACTGATATCGCCTTCGTCGGGAATGACTAACGCTACGGATTTACCGTTCGATTAACACGGTCAATCGCACAATGCTCCTTCTCGCGGTCTCTCTCTTTCTGCCAGCCCATCTCTGTCTCTCTAACGAAGGCTAGTCTACTCAATCGAGTGTGACGTATTTGAGGATATACAACCGTGACATCATGACGTGCGACATCGTGACGTTCGTGATTCACGTTGATATTATTAAATGTCGTTATTCTCGGTACGCCGCATGCTCAAAAACGGTCCGGGTGGGCCACTACAAAATTGACCGCCGGCGCGTGTTCGCGAGATGCGCTTTTCTCGAGGCGCGTTGCAACGCGCCCGCTACATCGTCGCGAAAAATAACAACGACAGTTCGCGCTTATCGTGTCGCAGCCTGAAAGGTCGGTCCTGTATGTCGGCCACACTTTCCTGCAGAGTTTCCTGCAGAGTTTCTGTGTTTCAAGCAGAACAGGTGAATAGAACTACGAAGAGTAACTCTAGAATAGTACTACGAAGCCGCAGAAGCAGCGAACAAGAGAATCGAAAGTGATTGTATAATTGAAATTGTCAAGATTAACTCTCTGTTCGGCGGATATCTTTGTACGCACTTGTGCAAATTTGTCACTTTACACAAAGTCCCGACGATAGCATATTAAACGTGTACGTGTAGAGTAAGTCAAGCTAAACGAAAAAATCCTTCACCATTTTGCAAACAAGTGTGCAGATTTTTGAGTTACTGAAAAAATTAAAGGTCAAAGAAAATTAAAATCAAAGAAAAAGATATTAAGAAAAAAAAATTAAAGAAGATTTAGCCAACAATCGTACGTGATTATTCGCCAATTTTCTTTAGCTACTAACTGAAAAATGTATGTGTTTATTTGCAAAATAATGGAGAATCTTTTTTGTTCAGTTTAACCTAAGGTACAATGCAAATCGTGCTCACTGTCACAACCTACACCGTATCTTGAGCGATCACATACATTCGCCGATCTTGATTTATTAATAACTCAAAATTTTATAACTCAAATTTAATAACTCAAATTTTGTGTTTGTTCACAAAATGGTGAGGGAATTTTTTATTCAGTTTAATGTTTCAACCTACGCGGAAGTTTTGTATGCTATCATCAGATATTCTATATAATGAAAGCGATATATCATGTAATAATAGTTATTTAATCACAGTGAATTTTTACGCAGATAGCAATATCGTATTAACGCGTTGATGAACTTCAAGCGCAGTGTAATGCAATCGCGCCTTGACCGAATTCTCCACAATGTGCCGAACATCAACGTTTATTCGACAATTTGACACAATCGAATCGGTAGCGTGACGACCGATCAAATTTGACAATTAATGACGCAACAGCCCATTTGGATCGCAGTATTCTGCATATCGTGCGAGCCATGATCGCAGAATTGGATCCGTCGATGGACATGCAGGCGAGAAACGTCAAACTTTGTCGTCGCTGCTTTCGCGAGACGCGCGAACACGAAGGAACCACTTGAGAATACGACTATCAATCGGGTCGAATGAAACGTGTATGTGTTTGTATGTATACATGCATACACATTACAAACGAGCGAATGGTCGCCGTCGTTGTTGTTGCCTCGCGGTATGTAGGTTTCTGCTGACAAAAATAGCGTTCTGATACCTCGAAGAAATCCTTACCGATAAGCGGCTATTCGAAGGAAAGCTTGCGCATTTCCGAATGTATGTATATGCATAAATGTTACGTACATGCGTACTTGTCCTCGGACGTGCTGCTCTTTTATCGTTGAGTAATCAAGTGACGCCCACGACAACAAGATGAAGCAATTCTCGCGGGAATATATATTATATGCGTGTACACAATAATATAATAAACAATATCTCAAATTAATAATTTTCTCTCTTTCTGTTGACATTGCACGATATTACTACTGAAATAAATTCGTGTGATATACATTTATATAATGTATTATTCTCGCCTCACTTCTCTCTCACCCTCTTCCCTCTCCTTTTCTCTCTCTCTCTCTCTCTCTATCTACCTATTTATCTATCTACTTCTTTCTCTGTCTGTCTGTCTATCTGTCTGTCTGTCTGTCTGTCTGTCTGTCTGTCTGTCTCTCTCTCTCTCTCTCTCTCTTTGACACGTTTTATATCATTTTTAATTATTAAAACATTTTAAACAAATGAGACAATTTAAGGAATTCATCTTATGTCTTTTATTAGCACTTTCTGCGTTTTAAGTAACAAGTGAGATTCTTGCTCCGCAGATTTTGAAGTAAGAAAATACAAGTATAGAACTACAAGATATAAAAATATAAATATAAAAGAAACACTCGCACACTCGTTTCCATTAGTATAGTGAGAAATTCCAGAGTTTCAGTTGTCTTTTTACGAATATTGCTGACATTTTCTTGATTTCCCTGGCATTTCCTGTGCTCCTAAACCAATTATAATTTCTCTCCAATTTTCATTTTAGGAAAGCCTTTCCAATATTCTCCGACGACTTTCAGCTTACTCGACCTTTCCTCGTATTTCGTGACTATTTCTGATCATTCTTTCTTTTCCCAACAAGCCGTAATTGTTAACCTAATTCGATGAACTTGACATTTAGTGGTATCGCATTTTTCTTTTTTTTTTTTTAGAATTTCTTATATCAACGTCCCAAAGATGTGTCGTAATTTTGTCCCACCCCCTCTTTTCCCTCCCACTCTTTCTCTCTCTTCCTCACGTATTCTGACTGTAACACAGCGAATAATTCGCCGCGGACGTCGTTCCTCCACAGCGACGACGGAAAGCTTTGAATGGGAATCTGCGGAGACGCACACGCATACACACGCGTACATAGCACGCACACAACTTGCCGGCGGCGGCGGCGGCGGCAGGCCGGCTAAAAATAGCGGGAATTCGTACCTTACGGTGTGAACTCTGGAGTGCGGATTATCCTCTTCTCTCTCTTTCTCTCTCTTGCCCCTTTCTCTCTTCTTCGCTCCCGTCGTCGTTACGTCCGTACGTCCTCACGATCCCCGAGAAAGTATCGTCCATCAGCGAGTACTACCGCACCGTAACTTCTCTCACATGCATTCGTACGGGCTTACTGTTCATCGCGTGCCAGCCACAGGGCGCCGTTTCTCAGGCTTTGCTGGACGTTCGTGAGACCCACGGCGTCTTTCCACTTCATTTTGCTAGATGCATTCCGTGAGATGACGACGACGGCGACCACGACGACGACACAACCAACAGCTCCGCTGCTATCGTCTTTATTTACTAATTTTGGACGTGAACGCCGGGAACGACCGAACACCGAGAGGTAATACTAGCGCCACGTTGCGGCTAGTCAGAGTAAACACTGCACTTCGAGATCGTCCAATAGTATTCGAGGGTAACTAGGAGTCGCTAGTGCTCGGATCTAGAAGTATTGGAAATTTTCAGTCGACGCATCCTTTCTAATTGTTCGTGTATCGTGACTGTTGACTTGAAATATGATAACGATGTCTCGAGTGTTATTTCAAAAATAATGACATTTGTAGTGTAAAACATATATTTATGTATATCCTACACGGAACAAAAATCTCTAAAGACCATAAGTCATGTTGCTTGCATTTTTCGCACTTTTTGCATTTAGAACAAAGTAGACGCATATTCGGACGCTGAAAAAAGTAAGAGCGAGGAGATCGAGTGCGAAAAGTGCGAGCCACACGTAAAAAACCATGTATCATGGAGTTTATTACGGTTCTGTGTGAGAAGTGAAAATGCGAAGTGAGCAAATTTACTAGAATATTTATAATTTCATTGGTTAATATCTGGTGAATTCGCTTACTTTACGCATTTTTACTTCTCACACAGAACTGTAATAAGCTCTCAAACTACGGATTACAGATTGGATTGGATTGAAATTTAATAAATCAGAATAAAGAAAACCAACCTCAAGTTCAATAAACTTTTCTCTGATTAGTCCAATTTCAATCCCATTTAATCCCTAAAGGGACGTCTACATTGGAAGTAAGCAGTAAGAAGTAGGAAGTAAGAATAAGAAATTGAACAATCATAGTTGATTATTCTTCTCACATTTGACTGTGCTTGGTCAATTTTTTACTCTCACTTTCTACTTCTTACTACTTATTTCCAATGTAGACGTCCCTTTATTCATAATCTGATATAGGCTTAAGCCCGTGTCACAATACGGATTGGAGATAGAGGATTGCTGATTAAAAATTAGAACTTGACCAACTGGAGCCAAGCAGGCCAAGACCAAAGTGCATTGATTCGTCGAAATCTAATCTTCAATCCGCAATCCTCAATTTCCAATCCGTAGTGTGACACGGGCTTTAAGGGTCTGCAGGGTTAGGGCTATCGCACACAAATTGACATAACTGCATATGCATAGCATAAGACCATATGTACCAATGAGCATCGAGTATTAAGTCGCCATATTGGTATTCGATGCTTAATATTCGATGCTCATTGGTCCATACGATCTTATGCTATGCATATGCAGTTATGTCAATTTGTGTGCGATAGCCCTTACATTCCAAAACTTTACTCGACGGATAGAGTAGCATTTAATTAAATTAATTAATAACTAATAAGAACAAAGATAACTAAGATTTCTTTATCATGAATGGTCAATTAAATGCTACTCTACCCGTCGAGTAGAGTTTAGGAACCCAAAAGTCGTAGACAAATCCTGAATTGCGTTTGGAGACCTCGTGCGGCGAGAGTGCGAAGCATTGCCATCTGTGCATAGGTGTATGTCTATATACACGTCCTACACAAATGCATTGTCCGCGCAGACGCAAGAGTAGGAAGATTAGGTCAAGTTAGTTAGATGAAGACAAACTATCGAGTGCCTTGTCTTTCTTTAGTTGTGACGTCGGCGCGTCAACTCACCTCTCACCGCGCGGCCTGATTCCTATATATTTCATAGCCAATAATCCGGCCAGAAAATGCTCCCCAGGCTGAGACGGCAGAAGCGTAATAACCCATACAGCATCGAAAGATTGCAAAAAGATTGCAAAAACATCTCATTGCAATATTGTAATGTTGCATTTTACTTCCCAGATAACACAGAAAATTAAAAAAGAAATCAGTCGTATATATCATCAATTCTGAGTTCATTTTGAGATGCAAAAAGAATTCTTTTCACTGAACTAAAGAATTATTTTTGCATCTAAAAATAAACTCAGAATTACGACTGAATTCTTCTCGAATTTTTTTTTAATTCTCTGTGCTTCTGGAAATTATGGAAACTATACAGAAATAAATTTTGCTAAAAATCTACGCAATGACTGTACATTTATGTTTTATATTCAAGATAAAAAAATAAGAATTGAAAAAATATATATAACTCCCTTAACTACCCAGACAGCATATAAATAAGACGTCTTTAGAATGTCTTTAAGACAATACTTTATAAACTTGTCTTAAAGATGTCTTAAAGATGTCTTAAAGACGTCTTATAACCCGATTTTGGACATTGTGCTGTCTGGATAAGCATAAGTCCAACTTTTTTTTACATAATTTAACAATTTTACATAATTTAACGATATTCTTAATATTACAATGATCATAATTCTCTTTACAGGCTACAACTAAGGTTATCGAGAACCAGCTCTTGATACAGTTTACATAATAATAGATGACCGCAAAAGAAAAGAAAACAAAATCTTACGATTAGAAGTAAGCCGTCATAACTTATCTAATAAACATGATCGAGCTCTTCATACATATCTGTTCACCAATAGCAATATGATTACAGTATCGAAACTCGACGTATACTTGTAACATGACAATGAGGATTTACATCGTTCTTTCACTCATTGTTCTATTCGCATTGTCTAGTAAGTCACACTTTATTCCGAATATTTTTCATAGTTATGCGAAGGATACAAATCGGGGGTTCAACAATGTGCATAACAAAACGTCGAGCGTCACGGAAACATTACCGCGATCCAATGAGACCACTTTGGCAAATTTTACATACACAATATACACAAATGAGTCCCGATTAATGTCGCCTAAAAAAGTGGATTGCTTCGGACTGGGTGAGACGGTCGCAACGGCCCTAGAATGGTACTTCAGGAGCGAGCCCAACGGAAGTCGCGCGTTAGACATACAAATCTTTCTGTCGTCCAGAAAACAACCGCGCCGTGTGCAAGTGGTGCTCGGCGAGCAATTCGGTCTAGAATGGACGGATTTCAAGATGGAACGACGGACGATAATAATAGTGCATGGTTTCCTGTCGCAGGGTGATGCTGAATGGGTCAAGGATATGGAGAAGGCGTTCCTTCAATGGGTAAGTAATTAACCGCGATATCGCATATACGAATGCTCATCTCACGTTGGATTGCCTGCAGAATGACGTAAACGTGATAGTAATAGATTGGAGTGCTGGTAGTAACACGTGGAATTATTACAAAGCGGCGGTTAACACCAGAATAGTAGGATATCGTATTTCAAAGTGAGTGTGTATGCATGTATTTTGATACAGATGTTCAAAAGATATCTAAATAGTTGCTAGAAAAAAATACTGGTCTTTCACGTTAAAATTGCGAAAACTTGAAATTACATTTTCATTTATTCAAATTAATTATTAACCCACCGCGTATAATGTTAGACCTGTAAAACTCGAACAAATATTTAATTACTGACCAATTTTCATAAAGGATCCGGAAAAATTCCAAAATAATGCAAAATAACGCAAATCTATTTGCAGATTTCGATTTTATTACATTATCTTTTAGCTGAGGCTTTTTTGTTTTTGGAAAAAAAATTGCTCAAAACTATTTATCTTTAGCAAAATTATGATAATTTAAAGTTGTCTGTGTCTGATAAACCAAAATAGTACCCCATGTCCCAAAAAATATGATTTTATGCGGATGATTAAACATCAAAGCATTTTCAAAATTTTTAATGATATTTTCTTTTCCCTAAATACAATATGAATGTCTAAAATACATTTCAAAGATATCTAAAGGACATATAAAAACAGTAAAACATCGTGAATGTTTCTAAGATGTCCTTTAGATATTGTGTTCTTTATATTTATAATCGTTTTATTTACCATTTTTTGTTTTCACTCTATTTATCACGTCTTTTGAACAATCGTCTTGTCAATCCGATCGTCTCTTAATATCTACTTATTCACGAAGACTTATAGAACACTTAGTGAACACCACGATCAACGAAAAAGGGCCAGACACAAGTAATTGGGGCTCTTTGCATCTAATAGGACACAGTCTCGGTGCTCACATTTGCGGATTTGCTGCGAAGGAATTGAAAAAACGGCATAGCAAATGGCTTGTGCAAAGAATCACTGGATTAGATCCAGCTCAACCCTGCTTTCGGAATAGCGACTCGTCAATTCATCTGTACAGGAATGATGCTCTATTCGTTGATGTAATACATACAAACGGTAGATTTTTAACGAGTTTAGGACTTGGTTTTCCTGAACCTATAGGTAAGTATAGGTAACTTATGATAATACGATTTGTATATGCATGTACAAGTGAATATAACTTATCGCGCTTTCTTTATACAATAAATCTTTTTAACAATATTTGAAATACCAATTCTTTGGAAATTAGCTCTAATTTAAAATCAAAATTAAAAAATATCTAGTTATATTATTTTAAAAAGAAACTTAAGATAAATTGTCTTAAAGAAACTTAAGATAAATTGTCTTAAAGAAACTTAAGATAAATGAAAAAAAAGAAAAACAATAATATCATAAATTCGGTTTTTGGGATAGATTGTAGTCAATTAATTAAAAATTACAACTTCTCCTCAATAAATTTTGCAACGTATTCTGTATTCAATAGAAAAAAGTATCTCCTGATAAATACTAAAAATCAAATTTTCATATTAGAAACGAAATATATTATCAAACTTGTCGAAAGAAATTTTTACAACCTTTAACTAATCGATTGTATATTCTGCACAACTGTTTACAATTGTTTACAATTTATTTATAAAAAACAGTTTACAAAATAAAAAAAAATCTATAAGTAAAAAGAAACGCCTTAAGTTTTGCATTACGATATATCACATAGTATTATATTGCAAATTTTATATATATATATATATATATATATATATATATATATATATATATATATATATATATATATATATTGGAAGTA